TTTACTTCAGCTGTCGAAAGGAAACTAGCTAGGTTGAAACTGAGTCACCCTTGAGGAAATTAAGTGGTAGTATAACCTCATAAAAATAAAGTTATGCAGTTAAACCTCATCTTTTAGATTCTTCATTTACCCAGGCTATTATTAATAAAGGTACCTCATCTGTCCCAGAAGATCTGTTTGATTCTAAGCCCCCAAAGGGTCAGGTAGTGTATTATCTGTTTTGTTTTATTTGATAAATGACAAGCATAGTGCCTGTGCATGTAAACATTGAAGGCATTTTTGTTTAACAAAATACTCCTCTTACCTTCTTCCCAGCCCTAACTTCTGAGGGATGAAAGCAAGTGTTAACAATTCTTTTAAGCCCGACATTATCTTTTAGCAGTCTCTGCATGTTCATCACCTTTATGCATGGTAATCAGCAGAACAGGTTTTCCTCCTGCAACAGAACTCTGTGTGAACCCAGTAATTTCTCAAATCTGATAGGTACAGAAAGTGTGTGGCTTTTCACTTCCTGTCCCTTCCTCCAACCCCAAACCATAGAGAAGCATGCTTTCTGGTGACATTTATTCCCCTAAACATTCTCACAGCTTTTTCTTCCCTTAAGACTGAGTGTGAGGAGTGTCGTTCGTTATCATTTTACAACAGCCTACCAGTTTGATTCTGCAAGCTTGAAAATTAGTAAGGACTCTTCAGAAACTCAAGAGTTTTTGCTTCTCTTAGTTTTGAGAGTCAGGGTAGAGGATGTCTGTACTCTATCATTTCAGGGAAGTGTGATCTCCACATGTTTCACACAGATTATTCAGGAAAGAATAATTCATACTGTGCTGTGATTTCCAGTGTTTCTGGAGCCGCCTTGTGTATTCTCCAGTGGGAAGGAGGGCAGTACGCAAAACAATAAGGACAGTTATTGGGAAGGCCACTTAAAAATCCAAGTTCATTACTGATTTTCATTTGGGAGATGGATAACAGAATTCCATCAGTTGTTCAACTCTGCTTGCTCAGTACACCACAACTTTAACTCTTTATATTGCTTTCTCTGTTGATAAGATTCAAACCAGTGACTCACAAAATTACAGGTAACTTACTTTGAGGCTTAATCAAGAGTTTGAACAGCTCTAAATCCTTGGATGTAAGGATCTTTTTTTAAATGCCACTTGTAAATTAAAAACCTCTCTTGTTTCAGTTGTCAAACTTTGAAACTCCTCTTACTGTGTATAATTCCTGTTAACCAGATGTTGTTTGATAGCTCAGTAATCACAAATGGAGGGTGCTTGTCCTAGCCTGACTTGCATTCTCTCTTTTTGATGTGCAGCATATGTGGAGCAGTCAGCTAAATAAAGGTCTTATCATTGAGATAGAGTTTGACACTGGCTTTTTCCTTTTGTTGCCATGCCATTTACCATATGGTAAAGAACTAGTTTTAGAAGGCTGCCTGTCTTGTCAGATTGGAGATGTGAATCAGTGGCGTTTTTGTGAAAAGTTGCCTCTCTCGTTCGTGATTTATACATTGCAAGTTATGTCGTTTTGTTTTTCAAATTCTGTTCTCCAGCACACAGACTGTTTGTAGTGAGCCATCTTTTCAGTATCACCCTTAGAGATTTTATTCATTCTTAAAACAAGTTGAAGAAAATAAATTGAAACATAAAAATCTTTTGTTTTTACTCATGGCCAATCACCTTTTCTACTGTTTTAAAGGTATTTGCTACATAAAACACATTGTTAAATGCCAACTGTGGTATATTATTTTTAAATAGAAGTAGTTATTTGGGCCCAGTTTATGGTGGTTTCTTTGATACACACTATTAGAAGATGCAGGACTGGAATAGAAGCTAGAGTCTTTTTCAATACATAATCGGGTGGGAGTTGTTTAGTGAAAAGGTTAAACAGTTAAGTGATTAATATATCATAATTAATAGTGTACAGATAAACGTTTACAGGGAAAGGAGGAGCCTGGAGAGTCAATTTAACAAAAGACAGGGCATGTCGGATAAGGTCCTGAGATTTTACTTCAAAAATCACTTAGATATGCCAGGTTTTATGTCATATTTTTCTGTGGGGTGGGAGATAGATTTTATGTTTTCAGATAATGATTTTGGACAATATTTATATTCTGGGGCACTACATTTTAGGAAGGGAGTATAGGGAAGAATACCAATCAGAATAAGGAGTAGTCAGATGACATCTATGAGGAAAGATTAAAAGGACTTAGAATTAATTCAGAACCATTTTCAAGACTATGAAGGAGTAACTATCATGAGCTTGCCCCTGGAAAAATTCTATGAAGGAGAAAATAAAATTCTGTAAGAGATATTTAGATTATATATAAGAATAATGTCTGGAATTTAAAGTTTATGGGAAGTAACCCCTGGCTGGCGTAGCTCAGTGGATTGAGCGCGGGCTGCAAACCAAAGTGTCGCAGGTTCGATTCCCAGTCAGGGCACATGCCTGGGTTGCAGGCCACAGCCCCCAGCAACCGCACATTGATGTTTCTCTCTCTCTCTCTCCCTCCCTCCCTTCCCTCTCTAAAAATAAATAAATAAAATCTTAAAAAAAAAAAAAGAAAATGTGTGTTTAAAGTTTATGGGAAGTAGTTTATTTGCAGTCTGTGTAAAGGAACCAAATCACTACATTAAGAAAGGATCTAGAATCTTTCTTAGATCATTTAACTGTTAATGGGAGGAAACTGAAAGGAAGTATAGATTCCAAAAACAGCTGAGTTCTTGTTTTGTGGCTACATTCTGCTACTTTCATTGACCTAAAAAAGAATAAGAATACACCCCATTCAGGAACAGTAGAAACAACCGGAAATACACAGAAATAAAGACCTATATTAGTTGTGTTATAGATATCCTAAATTGCTCTTTCTTTTAGCCAAGTAAATATCTCATTTAGAGTGAAAAGAATTTCCTCTCCTTTTATGTTTCACCTGTGAGGCTACAGTATTTTTGTTCATGAGGAACATACCAAGCACCCACTCCAGGGCCAACCCCTTGCTCCACAGTTTCCTCTGTGGGACTGGAAGTGAATTAGAGCTGTAAACTGAGCCAGTTCAGAGGCTCTTAGCACAGCACTACTCACTCTTGACCAATCTTAGCACCTCCCTGACAATACTGAGTTCCAGGACAAGTGGAAGTGAGGAGGGAAAATGCAGGAACAAGTGGTAGGTTTTGATTTAATGCTTGGTCTACCTGATGAATTTGAGGCTCATCTCACCTCACTGACAGATGTTCTGAAACATTCTGGCAGGAAGGCGCCACTATGTGCAAGCAGTAGGAGTCAAAAAAATGTCTTCCCTTCCGATCTATAAAAAGGAAAGGAGGAAAATTCTGTGGAAAAAACCAACATTTTAGCAAGTACAATAAATAAGTGGCCTCTTGGTTTTTTTTAATCCTCACTCAAGGATATATTTATTGATTTAAGAGAGAGACACCATTGTAAAAAACATCGATCTGTTTTCTTCCATATGCACCTCAATAAGGATCGAACCCACAACCTCTTGGTGTACAGAATGATGCTCCAACCACCTGAGCCACCTAGCCAGGGCTTAAGCTGTTTCTTTGTTCAGCAAGTAAATATTGATCATCTGCAGTGTGCCAGGCATGAGTGATACAGTGAACAAGTTATGGCCCTCATGAAAATTCACCTTCTTTCAGATCAGAGATAGACAGTAAACCAACAAACTAGTAATAGAATTAGACAAGAGTAGGAACTATGTAGACAGATAAAGCAAAATAAGTAGGGGGTAAGAGTAAGGATCGATTTCAGTTGGTGACATTTAAACAAAGGTGAGTCACATGAAGGAGCCTGCCATGAAGAGATCTGGGGGAAGAGCATCCTCAAGAAAGAAAACAGCCAGTTCCTGAAGTGGGAACAGACTAAACTTTGGCATAACTGAGGCAAGGCTGGTCAATTTGATTATAGTGGAGTAAGCCAGGGGAAGTTCTCTCTCTAGGTGGAAGATTTTATGAAATATTTTTGGTTTCTTTAAGCATCTTCCATACTTTCTCAGACCAGACACAGAATATTCTAGAGCCAGATGGTTCCTTTGGATTTCTCATCTCCTGCTTTATTTGTTCTCATCATCAGAACAATAATATGTAAAGCATCATTAGTGTTTTAAATTAAAATTGGTGCATAATCGTCTTCTAGTATAAGGATTGGCAAACTTCTTATAAAGGGCCAGATTGTCGATTTTTCAGCTTTGCTGCCCCTATAGTTCCAGCTACTCAACTGTACTATAGTAGTGCAAAAGCAGCCATAGAATATATACGTAAGTGGATGTGGCTGTTTTTCAACAAAATTTTATTTACAAAAATAAGCGGCAAACTCAATTTGGCCCACAAATCTGGAAAAGCTTTGTGCATCTTTGAAATCCTGGCTCCAGATGCCTCAGTATTGCTGTTTATCCACTTGCCGACTCGCTGTGGAAGTCTCCGTCCCCCAGGCAGGTAGTCCCCTCTGCAAACAGGCACCAAATCTGTGGGGTTTCTCTCTCTGCACTTCCTACCAGTTACTTGTCATTTTTGTATTTGTTGTCCTTAGTCCTCTAAAGCAGATTTAAAACATTCTGTTCCTTCTGCATATTCATTCAGAGCTCAGCCAGGTAAAGTAAAGATTAAACAAAGTGCTCTGTAGCCTGTGAAGAATGAAAGCTGGCATATTAGCCAGGAGCATGGGCTTTTTGAGGAAAACTGCCTGGGTGCAAAGCCGACGTTCCACTTACTTATTATCTTTGTGACCTGGAGGAAGGTACTTCAGAACTTTTTGTGCCTTCATTTCCTCATCCAAAAAATGGGAGCAAAAACTACACTCCCTCAGTATCACTGCACAGTTAAAGGCAATAATTCATGCTTAGAACATGTACATAGTAATTATAGGTAGCAGATGGTAAATGTTAGTTGATGTTTGTTACCATAACTGGTTTTTTTTTTTTACTCCAAAATGTGTTCATTGGGATGGTTCCCCACTCATCTTGATTCAGGGTGCTTTTAGTGCTGCTTCTACCTGAAGGAGCAGCCTTCCGTCAGCCTTGCTTTTCCTCCTGTAGGCTGACAGAAGACGGTGGAGCAGCCAACACATAAAACTACCGTCTGTGCATGGCTAAAGACAGTGGTGATTTTATAGCATTGTGGGCATTTCACACCCATGGAGTAGGAATTGGGTCTCTGCACCAGGAGCTTTTTCTTGTGTTTCTTCTCCTCTTCTGGAGAGGGATGAAGGAGATCCTTAGCGAGAGGCGTGTTGTTATGGGGAGGTATCAGCGCCAGAGAGGCTATCATACTAATTTTTTGAAAACCTGTTCATCTACAGTATCCTACATGGATTTTGCAGTAACTGTTTTTTTTTATTCTCACCCAAGGACAATGCTCACCAGTTCTAGAGACGGGGGAAAGAGAGAGGGAAAGAAACAATGTGAGGGAGAAACAATAATAGGTTGCCTCCTGGACACTCCCGAATGGGGACTGAACCCACAATTTAGGGATGTGCCTGACCGGAATCGAACCTGGGACCTTTTGGTTTACAGGATGACACTCCAACTAACTGAGCCACTGGTCAGGGCTACAATAACAACTTTTATAGTCCCATGTTATATATAGATCCTAAGGTTTTGATGTCCAACTTACCCAAAATCATAACAACCATTTGGGCAAATCATGCATTAGAGCTGTGTAGAGACAGTTCTCCTGGTGCTTGCAGTTAGACTGAGAAGTGAATAGGTTTCATCTCAGGAGTCAGCTCTAAAATAGTCAAAGTGGTTGCTTAGAGGATTCCCCAGCAAGTCTGAGCTCATCAAGAAAAGAATGCCTGATTGAATAGCGGTATTTGCCATGGGCTCAGGAGCATGGAGAAGGATTGCCTTGTTGCCTTTTTTTTTTTTTAACTCCTAGCTCAAGTTTTCTATTAACCTTAGTTTTTCTTTATAAACAAAAGTGTTAGGTAAATATGAACACATCTTATAATGAACTTACTAATTTATAGAGTAAATATATCCTTGTAAGTTTGCTAGAGAAGTATTACTATTTCTGAAATAGTTTCCCACTAGGGCAATTGATGGAACAATTCTCTTCTAAGCTGCTCCTCTATAACTCTTCTCAGTTTTCTGTTCTCATGAGCACACAGGTAGAAAAGTCTAGTAGTCACCATTGCTAATTTTAGGGTTGTTTTAAAACATCCTAATGACACTTAGAGAAATAATTGAGAAAACTTTGCTTTCATATATGAACCAAATATTCATCTCCCTGAAACCAAGATTGTCTAAGATGTGTCCCATAAATTCATTTTAAGTATACACAGAAACCAGATTTCTGTGGAGTTGATATATCTGATCTGCCTCTGCTGACTTTTTGGTTTTATTTTAGCCAATGTTATCCCATCCCCAGTATCTTTGGTCTTATTATGGGGAAGCAGCAACTTAGTGTTTTAAATGTCAATGTTACCTAAGTGTGGGAAAAGCCAGAGCTGATTTCTGGAGTCCACCTTCTCTGCAGGAGGAAGCCTCAGTAAAAAGCTGGCCACAACTGCCTACATTCAGCCAAGTGCCCTTGTTGGGCTTGGCTTTGGAAGGCTTGGGTAGCGCAATTTCCCAGTATGAACTACCTTTGGGAAGTAACCACAGACAAAGCTCATGAAGTGTCAGAACCTGGTATTCCATCCTCTAACTATAAAGAATTGCAAGAGAGATGGGAAAAGAATACATTACAGTGGTTTTTCATTTAGAACTCTTTGGATTTCACTATACTATAATTGGAGAATTTACCATCTCCTCAAAGTCCTGGCCATTTCTGGACAATTCTGACAAATTTTTAATTTTGCTTTCTGTATGAAATGGCTAAGCCGGGATGAAACCTGTCTCTCAGAAAGCATTTCCCATTCCACACACACTACTGCAGAATTGCACTGCTCTGATTTCTTGACCTTTATTGATTTAAATCAGAGTTATTTTGTTTATATTTTGATGTATCCAGTGGCGATGACCCAAGATTAAATAAGCATCTGGAAGAGCTTCGTGCAAGATGTAAGACTATTTGGGGAAAAAAAGAATTTCCTCCCCAAAAAGCTTTCCAGGAATGTAACATTCAGAGGTTCTATAAAGCATGATCTCTGGAGATAAAAATATTTATGGAAAGTAATGGTCTTTAATCTTTGTGATTAGTCAGTTTTTAAAAAATCATGCTTACTAATCACATCTCAATGTAAATTACTTTTAAGAATCTATTGTATGCAGTCAGTCTTTAAATATACACTGGAAATGGTTAGAGAAAAAAACAGAGTGTTCCTAATAAGGTTTATTTATATTAAGTGCCTTATAAGATATAATTTACCTCTTTAGTGTTTTAAAAATAAAAATGTTAAGGTTTCATCTAAAAAGTAATCTTGTTTTTTTTATTGGGTTTTTTTTTTCAGGTGATATAATTCAAACATTCAGTATACATTGTGTTTTTAAAGCAATCCTGAGCTCTAAGCTTCTCTCCACAACCTCCTTTCCCTAAGTGGAAAGACTTCATTAATTTTATGAGTGGAATTTTGGTAGTTTTTGCTGGCATGATGAAGAACATGTTACAGAGTCAGGTTTTTAGGCTTTTTTCTACACTTAACAGTATGCTTGATGTTTCCATTTTTTTCTCTTCTGCTGTTATTAGTAAAGCCTCTCTCTGGGAATGTTGTTAAATAAGAGAGGCTTCATCTCTCTGCCATGACAAAAACCCCTGTGCCTGTTGAAGATAGAAGCCCCTTAGTCCTTCCCATTTCATGGATATGTATTTAATATTTTTGGTTGTTTCAGACTGACCCCGATTCTTGGCATTCAGAAACATTCTCAGGAAAATACAGTATTTACACAGTTTATATCCACCCTGCTTGAAGAATTGCATTTAAAGAATGAAGACCTTGAAAATGTAACCATCATATTTAAACCAGCTGTTAACCAGAGAGGTGAGTTGGATTGTGTTTTTCTTTGTTTGTTTCTCATTTGCTGCCTGTTTTAATTCTTTTTGTATTTTGGAAATTTAAAAAACCAAGTACAGACCTCAAAATGCCCTCAACTTGCTAAGGGAGAACATGGTGTCCCTTAGTTCTCAGCTACCCCACTCGCCTCCTATCCAGTCTTGTTGCCCTGTGCCCCATACCTGCTACCATTCCTCCTGTATAGGTTTACCACAGTTCATTAATTCTGTTTCTTGCAATCCAGGGAACTGCCACTATTACCTTCATACTCAAACTTAGACCATCCCCCATGTCCCATCTGATAAGCTTCTTCCCAGAAAGTAGCAACTAACTTCCACCCAACTACTGCAATGATCCATTGAGAACATCCTCATCCTACTTCCCTCCTCAAGGAAATCACCCCCAACCCGGCCAATACCCTGTTAATCTCCATACAGATAAGCAGGTTCAGTTTGCAAGTCTGGCCCTGTTGAATCCTGACCCTGCTCCCAGATACATAGCCATGCCCTACTACCCCAAGTTCTTAACTCTTTCAGAACTGCCCTTCAGAATGTATCCCCCATCCTGTTTTAATTGTAACTCTTCATCTCTTCCTCTCCTTGCTGCTTATTTCACATACTCTCAAGTGGTCAGATAATTTCTTTAAATGTTTTACCGAAGTTGAGTTGGCACACAATAATGTATTAGTTTCGGGTGTACGACGTAATGACTGAACATTTATATCCCTTCAGATGTAATCACCACGCTATGTCTAGTAGCCATCTGTCACCATGCCAGGTTATTACAACATCATGACTGTATTCCCTGTGCTGTATGCTACATCTCCGTAACTTGCTTATTTTAATAATTTTTAAAAGATTTTATTTATTTTTAGATAGAGGGGAAGAGAGGGAGAAGTGGAGAGAAACATCCATCAGTTGCCTCTCACATGCCCCCAGCCAGCAGCTTAGACACGTGCCCCAACGGGGAGTCAAACTGGCAGCCTTTCGGTTTGCAGGGCAATGCTCAGCCCGCGGAGCAACACCAGTCAGGGCCGTAGCGTATTTATTTTATGACTGGAAGCCTGTATCTCTGATTTCCCTTCACAGTTTTTACAAATTCCCCTACCTTCTCCCCTCTGGCACCATCAGTTTATTCTCCATATCTACAAGTCTGGTTTTTGTTTTGTTTATTCCTTTATTTTGCTTTTTAGATTCCACATGTAAGGGAAATCATATAGTATTTGTCTTTTTCTATCTGACTTATTTCACTTAGTGTGATATTCTCTAAGTCCATCCATGTTGTTGCAAATGTCAAGATTTCATTCTTTTTAATGGCCAAGTAATATTACATTGTGTATCTACGCCACACCGCCTTTATCCATATCCATTCATCTATCAGTTGACACCTAGGTTGCTTCCTTGACTATTGTAAATAGTGCTGTAATGATCATAAGGGTGATGATATCTTTTCAAATTAGTGTTTTGGGATTTTTTTTTTTTTTCAGATAAATACCTATAAGTGAAATTGTTGGCTTGGGTGACAGTTCTATTTCTAATTTTTTGAGGAAAATTTCCATACTGTGTTTCACAGTGCCTGCACCAGTTTACAATACCACCAATAGTGCACAAGGGTTCCCTTTTCTCCACATCCTTTGCAACACTTGTTATTTGTTGACTTTTTGATGACAGTCATTCTGATGGGTGTGAGTTGGAATCTCACTGTGGTTTTGATTTGTATTTCCCTGATAATTATTGATGTTGAGCACCTTTTTATATTTCTGCTGGTAATCAGTATGTCCTCTTTGGAGAAATGTCTGTTCAGATATTTTGTTTTTTTTAAATCAGGTTGGTTGTTGTTTTTTGGGGTTTTTTGATGTTGAGTTGTATGAGTTCCTTATATATTTTGGATATTAATTATATTGTACATATCATTTGTGAATATCTTCTCCCATTCAGTAAGTTATCTTTTCATTCTATTGGTTTCCTTCACTGTTCAGAAGTTTTTTAGTTTGATGAGGTCCTATTTGTTAATTTTTGTTTTGTTTCCCTTGACTGAGGAAACATAGCCAAAAAGATACTACTAAGACTGCTATCAAACAGCTTACTACCTGTGTTTTCTTCTGGGAGTTTTCTGGATTTGCAGCTTACAGTTAAGTCTATATTTTAAGTTTATTTTTGTGTATGGTATAGGAGAATGGTCCAGTTTTACTTTTTTTGCATATGTCTGTCAAATTTTCATAACAGCATTTATTAAAGAGACTGTCATTCTCCATTTTATATTTTTGCCTTCTTTGTCATAGATTAATTAATCATATAAGTGAGGGTTTATTTCTGGGCTCTGTATTCTGTTCCGT